CTTCTTCCGTTTTTCTTTGGTTTTATTCTTTTTCTCGTTTATCATTTTCTTTTCTTTTCTTTCTTTTTCTCCTTCTTTATTTATTTCTTACTTACTTGTTTTCCTTCCTTCCTCCCCTCCTTTTTCTTCTTTCTATATTTTATTTCTCCTACAGCCTTTATCTGTTTATCTTCAGTTCATTCTTATTCCACCTCCACTCTCCCAATGTCACCGTTTAATTCTCCATGAAAAAAGGTTTCAAATAAAGCAATATTGCTGCTGTTATTATTATACCGAAGACAAGAAAGAAGACTAGCTTCTTGACCGAGTTGATCAAAACGCTGTCCCTATAAGATGTTTATCTGTCATATGTATTAATCAAGTGTTATGTTTCGTTTCATTCATGTTTGAGGGGGAGTGATTTAAACGTAAACGCTACTGAAGAAGAAGAAAAATACGTAGCTAAATAAGAACAAATCTAAAATCAACAATGAAAAATCTTCATGCAAGATTTTAGATAATTTAAGATTAACCCTTCATTTTTTTTCTCCACCATTAAAAAAAACCCTTCGTCTCTTTATATTAAGTCAATTTTGAATGACTATCTGTGCACGCGGCCGGTCACATGTTCTCGATCCGTCGCTGAGCGCAGGCGCCGCTAATAGAAATGGTGGAAGGTCACGTGTGCATAAGCAACCAATACGAGCATTTGGGTTGTAGCGTTTAGTAAGGATACCCGCATATAACCAGATGGGTGCTCAACTTTGCACAGGAAAATAAACACAATACAAAGTATTTTGGTTGTCAATACGTGAAATGCGTGACCCTCGCTCAAAATTAATTTGCTTATGGCAGATGTTAGAGCAGAATATAATAGGCCTATGGAAAGAATTTGGAAAATAATAAAAGTATCAGTATAACATTATATATTTGGTTGTTACATTCACTTACGTACTAATACCCTTGGGAAAGGTATGAATCCTTTTCTTCTCCCCCCAGCTATGGGTAAATAGTAGGACAGACCGGGTTCTATAGCCTTCGATGGAAACTGGACTACCGTAGAAAGAAATGGGAACCTACTGGAACAACAGGAAAAAATCTGCTTCGTCAGTCAAGTATTGAAAAATACATGATCGTATATCACGCATGGCACATAACTGATTAAATGGATAGCGGCTTGGATTGAGGAATCGGAGAGTCGAGTTCGAATTCCACTCGAATCCATTACATCCATTTACGTGCTAAAACCCTTGTGAAAGGTATGAATCCTCTTCTTCTCCCTCCAGCTATAGATAAATAGCAGGATAGACCAGGTTCTATAGCCTTGGATGGTAACTGGTCTACTGCAGAAAGAAATGGCAACCTACTGCAGGAAAAAAATTGCCTCATCAATCATGTATCGAAAAATACATGATCGCATATGCGTGTATCACGCATAGCACATAACTGAGAGACTGACTTACTATCTTGTCTATTCTAGGAGATAACGCTGTGTTTTTTTTTATTTCTGTATCTGTCATCAACATGGCGTCATCTGTGTATCTTAAGATTGTGCCCATAAATAATCAATACTGAAAGGCTTTCTCGTTCTATTATGATTAGCTGACTCTGTCATGGTCGGAAAGCGAACTTTCCAACAGCTCAGCCACGCAGGCAAGAGGCCTGGGTTTCAATCCCATCAAGGTCGATGTATTAGGCTGTAAGACATGAAACGAAACACTTTATAGGAAATACTCTGGCAGATGTCGCAGCTAAATAGGCCGATGAGAGAAATTCGAAATAGAAATAATAATAAAACTATTAGTATAACATTATATATTACGTTGTCACAGACGAAATGACGCACTTTATAGGAAATGAATATAACGCTTCTGAAATGTTAAATAAGTCATTTATTTAGTTGAAATAGTCACCATATTAATGTATGACTGTTCTCCAACGTATCTCTAAATTCTTGATCCCATATTCAAAAAAAAATCACATAATGTGATAAACAGTTCAAATGTTTCGATTACCTCTTCCTTAGTGGAGAATGTTATATTGCGTATGAAAATCTCAAAGTGCTTAAATAAATGATAATCAGTAGGAGAGATATCAAGTGAATATGAAGGATGAGGGAAATTTTCATAATTCAGGTTATGCATCTTTTGAAAAGTTGATTGAGAAGCGCGCGGCCGCGTGTTGTCGTGCAGCCAAATTCGGTCATTCCTACTCACAAGTGTTTCTTTATCAATTTGTCGTGCGTACATTCAATTTCTCCAAAATACGAGGTTGCTGATATTGTTTTCCCTTGAGGCTAGAATGAATAATGAATAACCCCTTTGAAAGACCACCATACAGTAACCATTAACATTTTAGAGTGCAGTGGAGGTTTTGGGTATTGTTTTGGTGATTCACTTGCATCTAACCACTGGCCTACACTCTTTGATTTGGGATGCTACCTGTGCATCTCTGTCGGTAATTTGATCAGGTCCGCGGTTGAGCCAGGATCCGTCACCCGGGATGCAGAGATGAAAAAATAGTTAAATATTCTTCTCTTGCTGATAGATTTTTTTTACTCTTGTGGCAGTGGAGACTTCTGGGGTTATTGGCCCTCGTTCGATGGCGTTCCTTCGGAGGATTGGCGCGATTGCATCTCGATTAAAGGACAAGCCTCGTGAAACGGCGTGGCTCTTGCAGCGTGTCTCACTGTCGATGGTTCGAGGTAATGCTTTCTCCATCATTGCGGCTGGCAGAGGATAGAAAAAATTGTTTATAGTTACGTTGCTATGGAATTGTCATCAATGGACAACTGAACTTGTTTTGTTTCAATAAATTTTTATTCATTGTCATTCGAGAAAGAGAGTAGAACCTATGACGTACAATTAATCTGTGTCATTTTACTTTTAATCATTTCTTAACGCATTTAAAGGTTCGATGCAAAAGTGTTTCTTTTTCCCCTATTTGTAATCATAAAGTAAGATTACTCGACATTGTTTCATTGTAATCATTTTCATTGGGCTAATGAATAACAATATATTGAAAGAAATTTACCTGGATAAAAATATCAGATATAAGTCAAGAGATTTTCTATATCCTAAGGAGAATACTTCGTGAGACGATCGAATCAAACACCAACCAAAATGCGTCATCTCTTGTGTGACAACAAAACATTATTAAGTCATGATATAAAAGTATGTTTAAACATAGGTAGGCATAGATCGGGGTTATACTTGAATCAATTATGTTTAGTTTACAAAAAGATAGACATTGATAGTAGACATGGGCTGAATTTGTAACTAAATTAAAACGCAGGTATAAATCCTATTTACATAAGAGTAGACAAATTTAGAAAAAGGACCTGTTTACAATAAAATCGATTTTCTTTCGGGTACACGGTGTTCATAATAGGTGCCAATATATAATCTAAGAAAATTTTCAGTCCCCGCCCGTCTTCTGATATCGTAACTCGCATATGACCCACGGGGTATAAAAAGAGACAAAGGTCTCGTTTAACAAGGGCCATATCTGTATGCATAGGTTCGGTTTACATTTGAGACATTGGGCCGGTATACTTTTTTACTTTTCATGTGCCGACTTCCTTCAGAACGTAGGTGATCATGGCCTCCACTTCCACCTATCCATTGTAACTCTCAATAAGTTTCGTCTCTTTGCTACTTGCCCCTAGGCCATGTTCTGTCACCCGCTTTCTTATGCCCGCTAGGTATGTCATGCGTTGCTTTCCCTTGTCTCTTTTCTTCTATTCGACCAATGAGTATCAGATTCTCCAAGCACTCCTTTCTCATTACCTGTCCCAGATACTTCAGCTGCCTCTTCCTGATGTTAAGTATTAGGTTGGTGCAAAAATAATGACATAAGCATGTCGTTTTTGACGTTAAAAAATACGTCAAAAATCGACATTATTACGTCATTATTTTTGCACCAACCTAATATAATTCATATTCCCTTGTTTGCATCCTCTCCAAAACCTCATCGCTACTCGCACACCCGCTTCCTGATATCCTCAGCATCTTTCTGTAGAACCATACCTCCGTTGCCTCGAGTCTTCTTCATCTTTGAGAAGACTGTCCAACATTCGCTGCCACAAAAGAAGGACAGATGTCACGTAGCAGCTCAGTACTCTTTTCTTTTTTGCCAAAGAAATCCTCCTGTCACGGAATACTCTGCCTAGATTTTGGAATGCATCTTTGGCCATCCCAATACGTTTTTGAATCTCAGCGTTGCACTTACCGCCCGCTGTCAAAACACTTCCCAGATTTTGCAATTTCCGCACCTGCTTGATTTTAGTATCACCGATCTGCAAATCGAATTTCGGGGCCATCCTTTTACTGATGACCATGCATGCAATCTTCTTGTAGTTTATGGTTAGTCCTTTCTTCTCGCTCTCCTTTGCTACCTTCTGTAGGAGATTTTGTAATTTCTTTCCTGTGTCTGCTATCAGCACCGTGTAATATGCGTATCTTATTTTGTTAAGACTATGGCCACCAATGATGAATCCGGATAGGATTTCTAATTCTCTGAGAATTGCCTCGCTGTTATAGGTGAAATAAGTCCAGCCCGAAGACACACCCTTGCCTTACGCCACTTTTTATTTTTGTATACACTAAAATCAAAATAGTAATTATTGTTTATACTAAAGTCTAAAAAATGACATAGGTCCGGTTTACACTAGACTCAAAATAGGAGACATATCTTGTTTATACTAAAAAATGACATAAAACCGATTGACACTAGTGAAAAAATACTAAAATAGGCCCGATTTATACAAGAGTTAAAAATTATACTGGAGCCGAAGAGGTAAATATATATGTTTTTTTTTTTTTAAACTTGACTAAAAAAGATTGGTTCACCTTATACTTTGGTCAAAATGGTAGCGAGAGGTTAGATTTATACTAGATTAAAAAATGGTAGACATTGGTAAAATCGTTTAACATCGGTCTGGTTTAAACTTGATTAAGAAAAAGGGTGGACAGTCGTCTGACTGTATCCAGCAAGAAAGTATGACATTTTTTTTTGAGGTATTATCCCTCGGCAGTGACAAATTTTATCTTCAAAGTCTCAATGGCAATGAAAGTAAAAGGGTAGATAGAAAGAGATTTACAATAGAAGAAGAAGAAGAAGAAGAAGAAGGAGGAGGAGGAGAAGGGAGGAGGAGGAGGTAAAGTGGAAAGAGGAGGTATGTGAAAGTAGAAGAGAAAAACGTGGTAGACGGAGGAGAAGATGAGCAGGAGGAGACAAACAAAGAAATAAACTTGCCTGAGCGAAGAAGAGAAAGGAGGAGGCGGAAGAGATGAATATATGTGGAAGAAGGGGAAGAAGATGGAGGGGAATACAATGAGATGAGAGGAAATATATTGAGAGGAGAAATGTAAAGAAGAAGAAGAAGAAGGTGGTGGTGGTGGTGGTGGTGGAGGAGAAAGAGGACGCTGAGAAGAAGAAGAAGAAGAAGAAGAAGAAGAAGAAGAAGAAGAAGAAGAAGAAGAAGAAGAAGATGTAAAGTGGAAGAGAAGTAGGGGAGAAAGAGAGACATATGTGAAAGAAGAAGAGAAAAAACGTACTAGACGGAGGAGAAGATGAGGAGGGGGAGACAAACACAGAGATAAACGTGTGAACGTGTGTGAAAGAAGAAGAGAAAGGAGGAGGCGGAGGAGATGAACATATGTGGAAGAAGGAGAAGAAGATGGAGGAGAATATAATGAGATGACAGGAAAATATTAGGACGAGAAATGTAAATAGTATAATAGAAGAAGAAGAAGAAGAAGAAGAAGAAGAAGAAGAAGAAGAAGAAGAAAGTAACAGAACGAGAATAGAAATTAAAATGCAAGAAAGAAAAAACGAAGAACAGAAAGAAAAGGAATAACAAGCAGATGGAAAAAAGGTTCTGAAAGGGGAAGAAAAGGATATAAAAATGTGGTATAAGAAAGAAAAGAAAAGAAAGAAAGCAAGAAAAGCAAGAACGAAAGAAGAAGAAGAAGAAGAAAAAAAAAAGAAGAAGAAGAAGAAGAAGAATGCGTGTGAGTGAGAGAAAAAAGCATAACTGACAATAGTAAATGATTTGAAAGAGAAATGAATTTCTCTTTATCGATGGACGTAGAGGGTGAAGTGAACGTGTGAGGTAGAAAGACAGATATGAAATTAAAGGCAAAGACATTGATAGAAAGAGCGAGAGAGTGTGTCCGTGTGTGTATGAGCGAGTAGAAGAGAGAGATGGAGAAAGAATAAAGAAATAAGTCAAGGAGAGTAGAAAGAATAAGACGACAGAGAAGACAGTATAAGACAAAGAATAGAGATATAAATGAAAGAGTAAGAGAGGGGATGAAAGAAAGATAAAATCGATAGAGTGGGAAATCAGTTAATGCGAGGGGTAGTCAGAAAAAAAGTGAAACGAAAAAGGAAGAGAAAAGTTTGATAGGATGGGAGAAAGAAAGAAAGAAAGAAAGAAAAAAGGAAAGAAAGAAAGGAGGAAAGAAAGAAAGGGAAAATAAGGGAAAAAAGAAAGAAAAATATAGTAAGAAAGAAAGAAAGGACACTAAAAAGAAAGAAAGAAAAAAAGAAAGAAAGGAGAAATAACACAAAAGAAAGAAAGAAAGAAGGAAAGAATTGGAAAATAAGGTAAAAAAAGGAAAATGTAGGAAGAAAGAAAAATAGAAAGGAGAAATGACACAAAAGAAAGAAAGAAAGAAAGAAAGAAAGAAAGAAAGATGGAAAGAAAGAAAGGAGAAATTACACAAAAAAGAAAGAAAGGAGAAATAACTCAAAAGAAAGATAGAAAGGAGAAATAACAGAAAAAAAAGAAAGAAAGAAAAAAGAAAGAAAGAAATGGAAAATAAGGAGAAAAAGAAAGAAAAATATAGTAAGAAAGAAATATAGAAAAGAGAAATAACACAAAAGAAAGAAAGAAAGAAAGAAATAAAGATAGAAAGGAGAAATTACACAAAAAAGAAAGAAAGGAGAAATAACTCAAAAGAAAGAAAGAAAGGAGAAATAACACAAAAGAAAGAAAGAAAGAAAGAAAGAAATGGAAAATAAGGGAAAAAAGAAAGATAGAAAAGAGAAATAACAGAAAAGAAAGAAAGAAAGGGAGTAACAAACGAGAAAGAAATAAAGAAACATTAGGCAGAGGGAAAAAAGAGAAAAAAATCAGTAAATGAGTGGGTGAGTGGGGAAGAAAAGAATAATGGAATAGTTACGTTGGGAAAGAAAAAAAAAAGAGAAAAGGTACGGAGAGAATGAAAGAGAGGAAACTGAAATGAGAGAAGGAAAAATGGAGAGCAAAATGCAAGGTAGAAAAAGAATGCAGACAATATCAAAAGAAGAGAAAGAGAGGCAGAAATTGTGTGAGAGATTGCGGACGGTGAGGGTTTTGTTTTAAAAAGATGACAGAGAAAGAGATAGAGTGAAAGAAAGAGAGAGAGGGTCTTACGATGACACAATGAGAGTAGAAAGAAGGACATTGAGAAAGAGAGAGAGAAGTGTCCTTTTTGAACGCCATCTTTTCCCTGTTTTCAGTGTGGAGCGCTGTCTATCGGAACAAGTAATTAGTTTTCTTTCAAGCTTGACTTTGAAGAATCTCTCAGAGTGGTTTTTGGCTGTTGAAGAATCGTCTTAGACAGGATGGACAGAATTTTTTAATGCGTTTACTTTAGTTCGTTCAAGTGTGTGTGTGATGGAAAGTGAATGATAGAGGGGGGAATAGAAGCGATCACTAGTATGTTCATGCTTGTGTGCGCAAGTTTTAATGAATGGATCATTTTGTGTATACGCGTGTGTGTGTGTGTGTGTGTGTAGGGAGGTACTGCAGGGAGAAAAATAGTACTCACCAGATAATACGAATTAGTGTAAGAGCTATGGTCACAAAAAAAATATATCCTCAAATCTGATATATTTCAGCTGTGGTCACGTGTGTTCATATGGCGTAAACAACATGATGAAAGGCATGAATATGATCATCCCTGCAGTCTATTTTATCATTAGAAGTTAAATAAATGTCATAAACTTTAAGAACTTAGGTTGCTCAGGGATTTCTTTCTCTTAAACCGGCTACCAGCTAGGGATACAGAGCCTTTTCTAACCAGCTATTTAACCCATATCTGGATACAGGAGACATTTGATTAATGCCTTTTGGGCGAACGTGAACACAAATTTATCTCAGGTCACTGACAGAATTTATATCAGATCATTCTGCGAGTGTTACTGATACTGACTGCCGTTCGGTTGAATCATGGGTGACTAAACCGGTTCACCCATCAGGATTTTCTTGTAAGGTTGTCAGACATCCAGTAGGATTAATAAGATAAAAAAAAAACACAAGACTGGTTAAACGGCGGATGAGGATTCTTGTATGATCAAAGGTCATCTAGTATAATGGCGTAGGCTGGGGTCCATAGATATACAAGCATCCATTGCTGGGTACAGGGCTACCTAGACAAACTGCGGCCCGTGGGCCAGAGGTGGCCCTATTGGCTTTCTAAATGGCCTGCCTAATTTTCTGAGGATTGGTTTGATTTGTTTTGTTTTACGGAATATCAACCTCAATGAGTTATTTAATGTCGACAAGATTTTTAGAATAGGTTCGAATGAATAGAACATGTATTCTTTGCTTTGATTCATTTTCTTTTACGGCATATCAACCTCAATGGGTTATTTAATGGCGGCAAGATTTTTAGAATAGGTTCGTATGAATAGAATATGTATTCTTTGGTTTGATACATTTTCTTTTACGGCATATCAACCTCAATGGGTTATTTAAATGCCGACAAGATTTTTAGAATAGGTTCGTATGAATAGAATATGTATTCTTTGGTTTGATTCATTTTTTACGGTATATCAACCTCAATGGCTTATTTAAATGCCGACAAGATTTTTAGAATAGGTTCGAATGAATAGAATATCAATGGGTTATTTATGCCGACAAGATTTTTGGTTTGAATCATTTTTACTTTGGTTTGATATCAACCTCAATGGCTTATTTAATGCCGACAAGATTTTTAGAATCTTTGAATAGAATATGTAATTTTTGGTTTTTTTTTTTTTTCAAAATGTTTTTATTTAATGCCGACTAGATCTTTATTACTGGTAATGTTTTTGTTTTTTTTTTCAAAAAGGTATTACTGGTAATTTTTTTTTTTAAATATATAGGTGATGACACTATTTTTTCAAAAATGCATTGCTGGTAATTATGTATTGCAGATAATAATCCTTCTTCAAAAATTTACTGCTGGTAATACTTTTTACAAAGTATTTCTGTTATCAAAACGCATTTCTAAAGCTTCACAGTGTTTTGGCCCCAGTTTAGGAGTCAACCATTTACCCATAGACGGGACCCTGAAAGTTGCCACTACCCCGGGTCAGGGTGGACCTGGGAATACCGGCAATTAAAAGGCGGTTCCACACTCCTCAAAACCTCCTGATCAGAGGTCTTGCTGTTGGACGTAGTTTATCGTCTTACCCAGGACGCGGATGTAGTTTATCCTCATAGCCAGAACGAATTAAATGAGGAAAATGACGTTCATTAAAATGTCCTTTGTTTCTTTTCGTTCTCACTTGTTCACTCACATACTCTCATTCAAAGCCACACGCATAAACAATGATTATTATTAGCATTTCGTTGAAGGAAATGTTGCCATCATTTTGACCTATTGGAGATCTTCACTAAGGAAGGTCATACGTGTAAACATTTTTTGCTTCAGAAACATAAATCATCAATGATAATTATTCTTTTGTCTATTCAAATGAATAACTATCTATATATCTGAGATGATGAATTATGATTATTTGCATTATTTACATTACACGGACTGATACTGTTGAAACTTGGATAAGCATGGAATAATAATAATACAACACAAAATGTACGTAAACAAAATGTATTGAAACAAGGAAAGGGTACACAATATTTACAGTTAGTTTTGGTATATTCTTGGGAAAACTGTTCCTGCATAATGGGTTGACTAAATCGCAGTCGGGCAGAGTCTCTCGATTCGATGTCTTCTTCTTACAATCTCTTTTTCGTCTTCCGGTACCAACCCATATTTATATGGTTGGTACTCCACTTATGTAAATTAGGTGTATCGTACACAACAGATACCCACATCTTCATCGCCATGTTAACAACGTTGCGGCTGTTGTATGCTTCGGCCTTCACCAGGTGACTGGAATTACAAACCGATGCCTTTATTTCGTCCATAGGGTTAGATTGTTCTAGTTTCACGTACCATGCCATGCCAGAGCGTACAACTGCTGAAACGTTGTGAATATGGCAATGAAGATGAGGATAACAGTCCGAGTAATGTAATCAATGCAAGTAATCGTACAACAATCACCTGTTGAAGATTTCTAGAGCGAAACTGTTGTGAATATGGCAATGAAATGAATAACAATTTCTTATAATGTAAATAATGGATAATCTCAGAGATCCAATCACCTGAAGAAGGGATGATATATATATAATATCTTGAAATGTGAATATGGCAATGAAGATGAGGATAACAGTCCGAGTAATGTAAATAATGCAAGTAATCGTAATACCTCATCTCAGAGATCCAATCACCTGAAGAAGTCTAGAGCGTACAACTGCTGAAACGTTGTGAATATGGCAATGAAGATGAGGATAACAGTCCGAGTAATGTAAATAATGAAGATAAGGTAATACCTCATCTCAGAGATCCAATCACCTGAATTAGTAAAGCGTAATGTTGTGAAAGCAATGAAATGAGGATAAATGAATAATGCAAGTAATCAAATGAATAAGTCAGAAACAAATCACATCCAGCAATGTGTGTTAATCACGTTGTCAGAAGTGATAATATTACACAAAACCTTCATTTTTTTTTAATTATATAACGAGGTTTTTTCTCGAAAGAAAAAAAAATTCCCCATTTCTAAGGCAGATGTTTTTGTAGGGGAAATGGCTGCGGTTTAGTTAATTAAAAAAAATACCTTAACATTTTTAGTAAAAGCAACCAGCCTTATGATGTATGAAATCTCATGTGACCTACTGTTATAAAAAAAAGGTAGCTCATGCTTGTCCAAAACTGAAGTAAGCAACAAGGACGGAGGGTCCACGATATTGAATTTAGCGACCACGTACCTGTGACCAAAGTGAGCCGTTCCGCTGGAGAACATTGGTTTTGGTTTATCTCCGCACGGTTTAATTGCTCAAAACCCACTCACGCATGAATAAATACGAGCCCGGCTTTCAATCCGGATAGTTAGGGAACAAAAAACAGAAAAAAAAAAGAAAAGCTGTCCAAGCACTGATGACAATCACGTCCTGGGTATGATGATAAACTACATCCGGCAGCAGGGCCTCTGATCGGGAGGTTTTTAGGAGTGTGGAAGCATCTCTAAATTGATGTTGTTCCCAGACCCACTCTGACCTGTTAGGATCTCATCTTTCATCTCTCAAAAATATCTCCTATGTCAAACTGGGGCCAAAACACTATGAAAGGGTATAAAGACATTTTTATAGTAAAAAAAAAAAAAAAATCAGCAAACATATTTGAAAAAAAAAATCACCAATAAATTTGACTCACGACAAAAATCCGCATTGCAAAATGAATACGTTAATGAAACTTGATCCACAAACTGATTTCATACAAAGAATACATATTCTATTCATACGAACCTATCCTAAAAATCTTGTCGGCATTAAATAACCCATTGAGGTTGATATGCCGTAAAAGAAAATGATTCAAACCAAAGAATACATATTCTATTCAGACGAACCTATCCTAAAAATCTTGTCGGCATTAAATAACCCATTGAAGGTGATATGCCGTAAAAGAAAATGATTCAAAGCAAAGAATACATATTCTATTCATACGAAGGAACCTATTCTAAAAATGTCGACATTAAATAACCCGTTGAAGATGATATGCCTTAAAAGAAACCAAGCCAAACCAAACTGATGAAAACGATGATGATGATGATGATGATGATAGTTGTTAATAGAAAGTAAAAGCTTATGTCATTACAAACGCCTGATTCTAAGTTTATTTTAGAAAACAAAAAATTGGTTTGCTTTTTAAAAAGAAAAGTTATCACATCGTACATGGCGCGAGTGACCGAATTAGTTCATAACTAACAGTCAGTTAATTATTTGTATGCAAAGA